ACCCCGCACAACATAATCTACTCGGCCACCATTATGGTTACCGCCAAAAAACAACCAGAGGTAAAAAAAGAACGGTAACCTGGTTGCCGAGTTCACGAAGTGAATTGGCTTGTTTTACAACGTCGTTGCCAAGCGACGAAAACCCAATCCCGATGGCAAACACCGGGGGGGGCGGCTTGTTTTACAACGTCGTTGCCAAGCGACGAAAACCCAATCCCGATGGCAAACACCGGGGGGGGCGGCTTGTTTTACAACGTCGTTGCCAAGCGACGAAAACCCAATCCCGATGGCAAACACCGGGGGGGGCGGCTTGTTTTACAACGTCGTTGCCAAGCGACGAAAACCCAATCCCGATGGCAAACACCGGGGGGGGCGGCTTGTTTTACAACGTCGTTGCCAAGCGACGAAAACCCAATCCCGATGGCAAACACCGGGGGGGGCGGCTTGTTTTACAACGTCGTTGCCAAGCGACGAAAACCCAATCCCGATGGCAAACACCGGGGGGGGCGGCTTGTTTTACAACGTCGTTGCCAAGCGACGAAAACCCAATCCCGATGGCAAACACCGGGGGGGGCGGCTTGTTTTACAACGTCGTTGCCAAGCGACGAAAACCCAATCCCGATGGCAAACACCGGGGGGGGCGGCTTGTTTTACAACGTCGTTGCCAAGCGACGAAAACCCAATCCCGATGGCAAACACCGGGGGGGGCGGCTTGTTTTACAACGTCGTTGCCAAGCGACGAAAACCCAATCCCGATGGCAAACACCGGGGGGGGCGGCTTGTTTTACAACGTCGTTGCCAAGCGACGAAAACCCAATCCCGATGGCAAACACCGGGGGGGGCGGCTTGTTTTACAACGTCGTTGCCAAGCGACGAAAACCCAATCCCGATGGCAAACACCGGGGGGGGCGGCTTGTTTTACAACGTCGTTGCCAAGCGACGAAAACCCAATCCCGATGGCAAACACCGGGGGGGGCGGCTTGTTTTACAACGTCGTTGCCAAGCGACGAAAACCCAATCCCGATGGCAAACACCGGGGGGGGCGGCTTGTTTTACAACGTCGTTGCCAAGCGACGAAAACCCAATCCCGATGGCAAACACCGGGGGGGGCGGCTTGTTTTACAACGTCGTTGCCAAGCGACGAAAACCCAATCCCGATGGCAAACACCGGGGGGGGCGGCTTGTTTTACAACGTCGTTGCCAAGCGACGAAAACCCAATCCCGATGGCAAACACCGGGGGGGGCGGCTTGTTTTACAACGTCGTTGCCAAGCGACGAAAACCCAATCCCGATGGCAAACACCGGGGGGGGCGGCTTGTTTTACAACGTCGTTGCCAAGCGACGAAAACCCAATCCCGATGGCAAACACCGGGGGGGGCGGCTTGTTTTACAACGTCGTTGCCAAGCGACGAAAACCCAATCCCGATGGCAAACACCGGGGGGGGCGGCTTGTTTTACAACGTCGTTGCCAAGCGACGAAAACCCAATCCCGATGGCAAACACCGGGGGGGGCGGCTTGTTTTACAACGTCGTTGCCAAGCGACGAAAACCCAATCCCGATGGCAAACACCGGGGGGGGCGGCTTGTTTTACAACGTCGTTGCCAAGCGACGAAAACCCAATCCCGATGGCAAACACCGGGGGGGGCGGCTTGTTTTACAACGTCGTTGCCAAGCGACGAAAACCCAATCCCGATGGCAAACACCGGGGGGGGCGGCTTGTTTTACAACGTCGTTGCCAAGCGACGAAAACCCAATCCCGATGGCAAACACCGGGGGGGGCGGCTTGTTTTACAACGTCGTTGCCAAGCGACGAAAACCCAATCCCGATGGCAAACACCGGGGGGGGCGGCTTGTTTTACAACGTCGTTGCCAAGCGACGAAAACCCAATCCCGATGGCAAACACCGGGGGGGGCGGCTTGTTTTACAACGTCGTTGCCAAGCGACGAAAACCCAATCCCGATGGCAAACACCGGGGGGGGCGGCTTGTTTTACAACGTCGTTGCCAAGCGACGAAAACCCAATCCCGATGGCAAACACCGGGGGGGGCGGCTTGTTTTACAACGTCGTTGCCAAGCGACGAAAACCCAATCCCGATGGCAAACACCGGGGGGGGCGGCTTGTTTTACAACGTCGTTGCCAAGCGACGAAAACCCAACCCCGATGGCAAACACCGGGGGGGGGGGAAGAAAAAAAGGCCGAATCTGACAGCTGTGCGAGAAACCGCCACGGATCCGTACTGTTGAGAAACAGAAACGATTGAGAAAACCATCACTCAATGGGTGGGGTTATTCCGAGTGAAACATCGACTTTCATAGAAAATGAAAAAACAGTAGCTCGAAACAGTGCTGGTCTTTTTTTGCATACCCTTTCGTGTGACCATCAGATGCGGCGAGTCGGAGGCAATCATCACAAAGTGAAAAAAACTTAACACTTCAGTGCTCAGCACAGCGCCTCATAACCAAGCACCCCGTTTCTTTCCCGACTGAAAGATTTCCCCAAGCCTCTCTCTGCTTGCCATACTTTATCGAGAGCAAGGGCAACCACGTATGCCAGGCACATACCCATCTCAACGCTAGCATGTACATCAGCCTGTGGGGGGGGCTCTGTATCGCCTGCCTACCTTGGTAAGCTCCTTGTCGTACAGGGCAAACTCCAGGGCCCTCCTCTGCTTGTCGTGCTTCTGGTACGCGCCGAGCTCCTCCTTCTCTTCTTCGAGCTCCCCGAGACGTTCCTTAAGAAACGAACAGGGCGTTCATGGTTCGGGAATGAGGGGAGCGAGCGGAAAATATGACTCATTAATGGCCGCCGTAAAAACCCAAGTTGTGTCGACTCCTCAAGGAACGCTGGAAAATACTGCTAGGAAGACAGCGTTCTCCTGGTCAACAAAAGCAAATACTTCACACCGGCGCAGACTTTGCCCCCGGCAACCAACAGTCACCGAAGAACGACGCAACCTGCCGCACACCGCCGTGCGCGCTGCGGCGGATGAGAAAAGCACGCGCAAGGCTGCGTTGCGCACCTCGATGAAGCTGATGACCTCCTGGATCTTTTCGAACTTGTTGTTGAGCTCGTCCATAATCTTGAGGGATTCCTGCCTGCGCTCCTCGTACACCTGTGGGGGCGACGGCCGCAAGCAAATAGACCATCCAATCAAGACTCCACAAGTCTACAATTAGTACAAACTTGGACGAATTTCACCGGAATCGGTTGTTGCTTTCTTGTGGAATTTTGGTGTTTGCTGGTTAGTCCACAAGAACGGGCGCCGGGCTTTTCACAACTGGTTGGATCAGCAGGGAATGGAGATGCTGGATAGAGAAAAAAGCTGTTTACGTTAAGACAAAACAATGGCAGCAACAGACTACCGGCAACAGCAGTAGCAGCAACAACAACAGCAGTAATCACACTCTCTCTGACCTTCGTGCCCGCGACCTCCTTGAGCAGGTTAAGTCTCTCGGCATCCTTCATTAGCGTCAGTGCCGACACCTTGCCCTGCTGCACGATGTAGTACGGGTTCGCCTTTGAAAACCCTGCGCTTTCCAGGAGACTTGACACCTTTGCCATAAACAAAAAAAGAGTCATGCAGAGCCGAATCGGGTCAGGCACTCGCATGTGGCGGTGTGTAACTTCGTCTGATACTTCAAAATAACTGAGGTCTTCTGTTCGACCATGTCGCTAGGGCGGGCTTTCTAGCGGCTGGCGCGTTCTCGAGGTGGCAACGAATCAGCGCCAAACATCGATCAGTCAAAGAGCGTTATACAAATCTGGGGGACGTTGGCCAATCGTGAAGCAAGGCAACGAAAGCACCGAACAGGCAGAGACACGGGGGCGTTGAAGCCGAAACACTCTTTGCATCAGCCTACAAGCCTTGATCACACCACAAACATTGGGATTTGAAATAGACGATACCTATACATGGGGGCAACCATGTGCCTACACACGTCGACACCCACATCCGCCAACCTTGAGCGCACCGATAACCCCTCTGTCAAACTCCTCCTCCTTCCCACCCACCTCCTGCTTCGTCACGCGCTTGAGGTTGAGGAAGAACTCGTCCTTCTTCATCCCGATGTTGCGCCGCAACACCACTTCGTCGCCGTCCTGATGCGGAGGGGGGAGAGGGGGGGGTGAGTGTGTGCGTGGGGTTCTCAACCAAAGGTGCCGTGTAGCCGGGATGGGAGCGTCGGCCGTATTCGATTTGTTGAACGAGCCACAAGTTGTAGTTGGTTGGCGGCCATGTGGTTTTGATGACAAGAGGTTGCGTGTACGTAGAGCGAGGTGCAAAAGCGGATACGTTTCCATGGGTTGCCAGAAACAGAATTATCTCTCTGTCTCTCTCTTCTGCCTACTAGTGGCAGGAGCATACCAAATCAGAAAGAAGGGTACGCTCTGGGGATCGAGATCGTGGATATGCAACATGCGTCAATTGAACGTTAAACCACTCCGGTAACCGACCAACAACCGAGATTGAATTTTTTCAAACGTGGAAAACATAGCAGCAGAGCAACCGACGAAGCACACCATTTTCGAACACATGCTGAGACCGTTCAGCTACCCCTCTGCTGCTCAACCCCTCCCCTCGGCTTCTCATTGGCAGGGCCACAAGGACACAACGGCAGCTCGTCTACACCCGGTACCGTCAAGTGTCTCAGCACACACCGACCTGTGCTAAACGGCCGTCAGAGTTGTCGAAGACGATCTCGACGTAGGCGCTCATGAGCTTCGCCCCGGCTCCCTCGTGCAGCAGCAGCTGCCTCTCCTCCTGCCGTAGGTTCGAGAACCTCTGGTTGAGCAACGCGAACTGGATAGCATCGAAGAAGTTGGACTTGCCCGACCCGTTCCTACCGACGATGACATTGTGCCGGGGGCTGAAAGACTCGATCTCGGGCTGCGACCGGAAGCTGCGGAAGCCCGACATGGACACCTGCTTGATGTGCATCTTCTTGCCGCACCCTGTTGGTGTTGGTACTCCCGGCTTTTCCCCTCCGGAACGTTTGCCCTCTTGAACCGTACCGGGCTATGGGGCGAGGGAGGAGGTCCAAACGAGCGTGCTCTCTCTCTCTCTCTCTCTCTCCTCTCGCTCTCACGGGAGCTGGCAGCTCTATCCGCGAGAGAAAAGAACCGCCGCTCGAAATTTTCAAAATGTTGCACCTCAATAAAGGGGATGCCGCAACCAAGAAAACAGCCGTTGACGACTTTTACGTAGAATTTCAAAGGATGGCTCTGGTGTCGGTGCCGATATGCAACGATGACCCCCTCTTGTTGCTCCCTCGCCGTCTCGCGGCTCGCTCTTTTCGCCCTCGTGCTGCTGCTTGTGATTTCAAATCTAGGGGGAGACGCAGAATCAGAACTTGCGCACTGTATGCATTGTTAGTGATTCATCTTGCGGAGATCACCGCTGCTGTTCTGCCGCACTTCGCTGTTGGCTGTCGTCTAATCTACCTGTGCTTTGTTCACTGCCCCGACCTAGCCAGCTCCCCCTCTCGTATTACTTCTACAGCGCCATACACCGTACCTCCATCCTTCTGCCTGTTGGTCCGGGTCGCAGTACAGTCGCGATGATCGTGTGCATCGCAATAATCGGTCGACAGGTGAGAAGGCAGTACTTTCGAGGTCCGCAACTACATCCCGTAGAGTCCAAGAGTGCCGTTCGAATCAGCCCAGACTCCTGCAGCTCTGTGCGGTGTATCCTGCATAATGGTACACTTTTTTACTACATGTAGTACCCCTGTTTCGACAAAGTTTTCACTTTTCGACAACTTTCAACAGGAAGCTCGCATGCTAGGCGGATAATGTAGGCACATCCTGTTGCCTGTGCAGCTTGACGCATGTGCTCGCTCCGTCTCTTCCCCTTGCTCAGACAGACCCTTTGCTCTTGCCGATCCTTGTGCCGTTTCCCCGCCTGCTTACTCTTTGCTTATTTTTACGACTTGTCCAGAACGAGCCGCTGTTTCTGCGAACGTACACCGACGCGGAGGGCGAGGAAGAAGAGGACGCCAACCTCCGCCTGCACAACATCGTACACAGCTCGCTCGACGTGGTCGGCGAGCGAAAAGGTATACTCGCTTCCGCCTGTTTCCCGTCGTGTAACTTTCGCCTACAGTGATGCAGCAGTATTGTTTAGACTAGGTGCTGTTGTTGATTATTCAAGATCTCATGGGTTGGGAGGTCAGAACCCTGCTGGATCGATCCACCGGAGACTACCACAGGTAGGCGGGTGAGAGATTGCAGGAAACAAGGACTTTTGGCGGCGGTAGAGGTCTGGTGTCGCAAGCATGATGCTCGCGTTCTGCAATCGTTATGCGATTTGCGGGTCGTCGGCCGATTCGCCCACGTCGATGCTACCTCTGTTGCCCGTACTATGTATAATGTTGTAACACGACGGCACTTTATTGACGATTGTTGTCGTCAACCACAGCACTTCGTTGCCGGATAAACGCGGACCCAGCCGCTGAGGAGCGGTGCGTACGCTGATTGAGAAGTGTCCCGATGTTCACATGCTTGGGGTTGAAGCTTCCAAAGCGCACACCAACGAAAATCAACCCTTCTCGCACTGCACTGCACTGCACTGCACTGCTCTGCGGAGTATGAAAGTGCTGGTTGAAGGTGAAATTGTTTCCACGGTGAAGACAACTACACACTACCACACTACCAAACTTACACCATCTGCATCCACCTTTGATCACGGACCGCGTCTGTGTCACCTCGACTGGTGGTGCCGACAGTAGGCCGAAAGGGCGCTTCCGGCGCGGCGGATGTGTCAACTGATATGTTTCTGGGACACCTCTGCCCGATCGACGAGTACCGAGTTTACGGCTACATGACGAGCACTCGCCTCAAGCTGTTGGCGGTATTGGAGGACGTGAACGATATCCGAGAACCAGAGCTAAAGAGGGTGAGCGAGGAATCAAGTGACAAGCGAACCCGTGTCCATGTTTTGACCCCATCAACTAGAGGAGTCATTGAGAGCGTGTGCACATGTGAGGGTGACGATGCGGGCCAATTCTACGTCGTCACGGTTGTTTGGGGTCGTTTGTTGAGGGGCGGAAGACGAAACGATGCCCCGAGAGCAACCGATTGTACCTTCCTCACACTTTGGCGGGTGAAGCCAAGGTCGCGTGAGTGTGTCGTGCACGAGAGAGGATCGATTGAGTAGCTCCCGCCTCAAAGTGTGCTGGAACTCTGTGCAGCACGCAGTGCGGTTGGCACCGGGCAGCACCACGGCAGCAACGTATTATGTGTGTTCTTGTTACGCCCGTGGTTCGCAGACAGTTCTCTGCAGCAGTGTGTCCCTACGCAATCGACCTCAGTTCTTTCGCCCCCCGTCGCCGCCGCTACCGCCGGTGCTATTGTCTGCTGTACGCCTAACCAGGTATTTTCGACCGTGCACAACCTTTACGTGAACTACCTCCGAAATCCTTTCTCCCCCCTGGCGAAACCCGTGGATTCGGCGAAGTTCCGCCTATCGGTAGACCGACAAATCAACGACTACAACTCGTGACGAGTGGTCGTATTGGCGTCTTGCTCTTGGTGCTGTGTACAAGCTGAGAAGATGGGGCGGTGGTGGCTCACTGCCGAGTTTCATGGACGTGTTTTACGCCATCAACTTGCAGCGAATGGACGACCCAGAGCCTCGAGGCTGTCCTGCTGTAGTACCTTCGGCTTGCTCTAAGGGTTGCACCCTCTCTTTCCCTAAGGGTTGCACCCTCTAGTAGTCAACGCTTCCATCGGCCACTTATGGGCTTGAAAGGAGGAATACGTGCGTTTGCGTTTCCCCTGCCTGGAAATGTGTACCTTGGCTTGTCAGGCGTGCAATTATCGCCCGGCATTCTGTCCTAAACGCAAACGACCGGCGGGATTTCAAGTCCCAGCTTTGTGTTTTTTGAATGCTGCCTCGGGCACCCCTTATCGCCCGTACTTCAGGCGAGTATGGCTTGTTGGTTGCTCCTGTGCATCGTCATCGGCGTTAAGCCAACAGGTGACACCAGCAACCCAGAAGTCGAATTCGGCCGATGACGGGCGAAGAAGCGATTGAGAAGGCACCGTACGGAGGGAGATTGGTGTGGTATCAGTACATCAGTGCTTCTCCGCAAACACATGTGTGGAACAGGATACAATTTGGAGCGGACGAAACCTTGTTTTATTGTTGTCTGACATGTCACAGAATTTCTTCAGTAAAGTAGACAGGACCTTGCGCAGTACGGGCATCGCGATTCGTTTGGCTACGTACGATAGGTGGAAATCGTTTCAGAGGCTGGTCGAGTTGCCGTATACTTTAGATCCAATAACGTGTGCTGCCCAAAGCTCATGTATGTTCCTGTACATGTCCAAGGCCGATTCCGGCCGGACGTTTCAACCAGGACGCCCGAACGGCAGGGAACAAGCCACCCCCCGAAGTGGCGGACGCGGCGTGTATGCATTTTGGGTGCATAGGCAAAGCCCAACTTAGCCATCCTAAGGCGATGTGATCGTGTTGAGCCATCTGTAGGTGCGGGTTCTTCAGATCGCGGCTGGATTTTAGCAGTCACGTCCAGCGCTTTTTATCTCCGCGTTTTGTGCCGCCGTTCAAATCGAGTACGGAGGGTTCGCCTTAAGACTCCTTACGCCTCGAACGTTCTGGCTTCGCGGCTTTCAATCGTGAAACCTCCTGGCCAATACACAACATCTCCTTTGACAGCGGTTCCTCCTGACCGGAACTAGAGACGAACACCTCTCTTGCCTGTTTATGGAAGAGAGTACACGGTTCGGAGGCGCGAGGTACTCAGCATGTTTCCCGAGATCACGCACAAGGCACGTTATAGGTCCACGTGAATGCACGATGTGGAGGCGTGAGGTGCACAACATGTTTCCAGAGGGCAAGCATGTTGGTACATTGCGTCGCCAAGGAATGCGAGAGCATCCATGCCTCTCTCTCAAGCTGATGTTGCTTCATGTACAAGTCTACATCAATGTCGTGGTGAGGGATGAAGGAAATTGGTCGTCTCCAACACTGATCTTTCACCTTTACTCCCAGGGGTCTTGAACAAACAATAGTTCGTCACGAGTGTCAGCAAATACGTCTAGCTCGCCTGTTGTGCATTTTGGAACGGTTTTCGACCAACGGTCGTGTGGTCGACGAAAGGTTGTGGCACTGTAGTCGAGAGCTTGTTTATTTTTCTACAAGACGTTCAATAGCAGCGTTGGTTGGAAAGTGATCTTGCGTGGTATACTTCCAAGACTGAGGTGACACATAAGCAGCATTGCATGCTCGAGCTCTCCCTTTCTAAAAATGTGAGCACCTGAGAATGGAACAAGAAGACTTTCAGCTCACCATGCGCCTGACGAACTTCAAAGCACCCTGCGCTTTCTCCAGAGCCGCTCGCCTGGACTGAGCCGTAACTAGAACCCCAACCATCCCACATGCTAAACTGTCCACCAGGTTGAAAATAGTGCCAACCTGCTACGATGGTAGGCACGAGAGGACGGGTTGTTTGTTTCTCGAACTCTTGACTCTCGCATGGGTGTAATGTCCCCAGTTTGGTTACGGCGTTGTTGCTTGTCGTCCACTTTTTCAGGAGACGCCTCAGTGAAATCAAAGGCAGGGTCCAGCTGTGAAGGGTTGGACGACACAGGCACGAGGTGATTCTTGCAAACCAATGCTGAGACACTTACAGCGCGCGTCGCAGGCTGCGATATCCTGAATGAAGTCTGGCCTCGAACGATACCGGATACATCAGAACCCCAGCAACCAAAAGGGGCCGATACCGCCTGATAGCCACGAATTCACACATCTGTTGCGGGTCCACCCCATGACGTCCCATCAGGACTATTTCATACACTACGAAAGCTGACGCCATAGGTTTCAATGTAAACGAGACTCGGTGACACCCTCGGGCGTTTCTAGAGGACTACAACGCAGGTGATCCCCCGCAAATGGGTTCTACTCTGGGCGTTTTAGCGAGCGCTTTTCTCCACAGCCGCGCAAGGATTGGCTCACCTGAGTGGAGAGATCGAATGAGATGCCTTCCAGTCGACATAGCTTGAAGAACACAGGTATGCGTAGTGATCGCAAGCTAGGATGGTGCGCTTGAGATATGTAGATGTAGTGCAGCTGGCCTAGTAGAATGGCAAAGAGAGAATAACCGCCCGCAAGGCTTGCGATTATGGAATATACGAATTTTACACTCCGAGTGGAGTAAGGCTGTGATGATGGCAAATACGGCTTTTTCACTCTGAGCCAAGACTCTACATGGAGAACACAACTTGTTCAAAAGCTCACCTTCCTGCTCCGTGTCGCTCCCATTGGTGGGTTCTTCGTAGCACCCGAAGTCTCGACTTCGTCCCGGACCCTTCGTCAGCGACCTAAAGAAACAGAAACTGAATGCCGAAACGCTCAACCCGAGCTCAAGCCCGGTTGCCCACAACCGCGGAGCCTCCACACTCTTATCCCAGAACACGACAAAATGGATCGAAGCGTATCCCATCACACCGCGTGCGCAAAGTTCACGGGAAACTGCGACGGAAGCTCCTCGAAGAGCATGCGACGAGACGCATCGCTGAGGGTATACGCAGCCGACATTGTGGAAAGATGAATCTAGCAGCCTGTCAGTTTCTGCTAGACAAATGATTTCTCCGACTGGAGAAACGAAAACACTGCAGGTCGGATGGCTTCGCGGTTCGAGAGGCTCCGCTTCAATCACTCCTCCCACCCGCGCGAGATGTCGAAGGAACAGCGCCCAGGTAGGATATGACTCGCTGTTACAGATAAACAGCACACGATGGAGACAGCGGCGCAACGTCTTCAGCAGCCTTGCCCGTGCCAAAAGCTGCACGTCGGGGTGGTGCCACACTCCCGCCGGCCCACCGTTTGCGCGCTCAAGCTGCGCCTTCTCCCTCTTGAGACTCGCCATGCACGGCAGAGAAGACGTGTCCAGCACGGCCAGGCCACGGTTACCCTGGCAAGTATCCAGCTTGATGTGCCACCGTCGAACCTCGATGTTGCATGCAATCAGCTTTGTTAGAGCTACCATGAGGTCTTCTTCGTCGTACACGTCATGCGCACCGATGGGAGCGTTGACATCCGCCGCCGCAAAAACGCGCTTCATCCCCGATTGTGTCTGGCAAAAGCGCGCTGTCGCGGGATCTGCTGAGAGTACGGGGGTGCCCAAAGCGACGGCCAGCTTCTTTTCTTGCCAGCCAGCTTCGCCCGACAGAATCATCGCCGGTTTACCTTTGACTATGTGAACTATTCTTTTGAGGCATCCCGGAGAGTACAAGAGTAGAGAGGCAAGAGAAAGGCGGCTGTAGAAAAGGTTGACGTTCTCCGGAACCACCACCGTAATGCGCCTGCGTGCATCGTGAACTCCGTTCATTTCCATGATTTTGCGGTGGTACTCCAGAACGTCGTCGTCCGGTTTAGAGGCCGAGACGCACACCAGGTGAACTTTGGGGTCCACCAACCAATGCATGCAGGATACATGGAGACCACGCTCCTTCTCATCGGTGGCGGCGAGGAGCAGGACCAAAACTCTCTCTTGCTTTCGCACGTTTTCCCAGTTACCCCTCAGCCCGTCCTGCAATTCCTGCCACCTCGACTCGGCCTTCCTTCTTCTCTCAACCAATCTCGCCCCCAATAAATGCCTGGCCCTTCTGCCTCGCGCTAATCGCTGCAAAGTGACCGCGGCATTCCATCGGTTTTGCAGCACAAGAAACTTAGAGCGCTGTAGGAATCCACGAGCGCGAGCCTGGATTGCTATGGCCGCCAGTTGTGCAGCGGACGGTCCATTGGGAACGATTCTCGTGTGGCGGAGAAGGGGTTTGACCTGTTCCAAGTTGGCGATGACAGAACACAGGTCGGCTTCATCCACCCTTTCCAGGTCGAGTTGGGCAAGCTCGCCGAGCTTTTTGCCGTCAATGACGGCAAGGGGGACCGAGTTCACCTTCATAATCTCCTCGAGAATGGAAACGCATCGGTCGATAGAACTCCAGCTTGCTTGGTGTGTCCGCGCCAGGGATGTAAATTCAGGAGTGTCCCGGATTACTCTCCCCTTCCAAATGACAAAGTGGTGCAAACTATACTCATCAAGCAGGTCCATGTAGCAACGGATTTTGTTGACCTCCGACTTCACTTCCTCTTCGGTATCATTGTGCGCCTTAGAGCCTCTTGCTTTGTCAGCTTGCCTAGGAGCCATGCCGTCGCTGCTCGGTGCGTGCTTTCTTCGTGTCGGCATGCCCTCCGCCACTTCGGGAGTAGGACCCACCTGTATTTTTCACGGTCCAAACCGCGAAGATTAGTGGGTTGCGCAGAAATATATCTACCGTAGCTCTTTACATCAACAGCTGCATGCTCATGCCTCAACGCTGCAACAATACTACAGTCAGCGCTCGAACGGTAAAACTCATTGCCCGTGTCACAATAATTAAAACATTGAAAAAAGGGTAGCCAACGTCCAACCCAATGCGCTATTATATATTATAGCGGTCTGTACGAGTAGGGCGCACGGTGCCCTATACATCCGCTGTCTTGACAACAGTCTAGATAGACTGTAGGCTGGATCATGGTCGATGTGGGTGAACTTAACATAGTTTCAAGTTGCGCAAAACGTGCAAACTAATGTAGATAAGGCGCATTGGAATATAACCGCCCGTCTAAGGGCAGCAGTCTACGGCAACAATCATTTAGAATTTTCTTAACATATTGTAGCTTGTACGCTACACACAAATTGTATGGCTTGTTGTAACAATGGGATCATACCTTTTCGACGTCGAGTTTAATTTGTGACACGTTGTGGTTGTCAGAAGCGATCTTGGATCTCGAACCCAGGAAGCTGTCCAGTGTGGATTGCTCATGGAATTCCACGGGCTTGTTTACCAATATGTCCATCAATGTGCAGCAACGGTGCTGAGGCTCCGCCACTGGTGGAGGAGCCCGGGCTCGATCAGATTTCTGCCGGAGTTTGGCAATGGCTTGGCGACGACTTGTTTTCCCGTAAATCTGGGCCACAGAAGAAACAGATGCATACAGATGTAGATCCAGAGAACAGGGATGGTGCGCGGTGCAAGTCATTTTTTTTATGGCGTAGGCAGGAGTATTATATAGGCTACGAGACAACGGCGGTGAACGTTGGTGACGATTCCCAATGGTGAGAGCCACACACACGCAACACCCAACTGCCGAGATTCATGAACCGCAGAGACCGTTGATACTTTTATTTCAAGTGAGTAGACTTGGAGCGATTTGTGTTCGCAAATGCCTGCCCAGCTAATATCTCCACGCATTGGCCCTCTACTGGAGCACTTTCAGGCGTGGTCTCGCACAAGGAGGATTCCTCCTCGATGATACATGCACTGACTCTTGCTCCAGGTGTACACTCGCCTTCTCATGAACACCGCCGCGTCTCTGCTCTTCAGATTTTTGCATCCGCTGCGCAACTTGTGCGATTGGTATCGTTTGGACATCATCGCCAGGGCGGTCTCTTGTCATCGATTCTGTGGAAGTGCCAGGAGAACCCTAGCCTGCCACACACAGACTGGGACTAAACGGCACCCGTGCGGTGAGGACACGCCTGCGATAGTCTTTTATTAAGTTGAAGTTGACGTTTCCGACGTTTCTCATGTGGCCTGATCGATTGTGAAACCCAAATCTCCGATGTATTGAGATGGGTCATTCCGCCGCGTCTTCCATACACATGCACCAGCACACCAACCAACACACCCCTGCCCCGCCTTTCGCCTTTCTCCCCGCACAGCCATGAAGTGGGCGACATTAGGAGCGCTCCTTTTGTGTAAAGTATCAGCCTTCCACTTGCCTTGGGTGGCACGCGTTGGGCCATCACGGAGAGCCAACTCCGTTCTTGACCGACGGGAGGCGAGACATGCCGCTGGGCGAGTTTTAGCCTGCACCGCCAAGGACGAGGGCAACAAGGTGCGACAACAGCGGTAGGAGCAGATTGAGTGAGGCACCGAATACTTCTCCAAATATATCGCCTCCATTCGATGCGTGTGTAATCCGTGCAGCAGCTACTGCTGTGGTAACTTGAAAGTAGTTCTTCCGAAGGCACAGTGTCCTCAGACAAAAACAGGATTTCTCCCCCACTCATTGCGAAGACCTTCACCACCCCCCCTTCGACTGCATGTTTGCAAGCTACTCGTGGTGTTATATCGGGTGGTATTTCAGTGATGGACATTTTCTAGAAACAACCGTCACGACTCATGGCCTGTCTGGCGATACCCCAACCCCTTCCACCACCTCATTTCTTGCCCGATCATCGCGACGTGTGGCAGGGTGTGGCTGACGAGGATGATCCTCTAGATCTGAACCTTGACGATTTCAGCGAAGCCGAAATTTCGGACGCGGAGCTGGACAAGATGCTGCACGCGGTGGAGCATGGGATCTCGAGACACAAAACGAAGGCATTGGGTAGTAAGGCTGGACAACGTGGGGAGGTGGACGAGGTGAGCAACTGGAAAGACCAGCGAATACTAAATACGTTGACTCCGACACTGGCAACCCTTCCTGAAGCTCCCCGTGCAGCTATTCGAGAGCACAAGCCACGTAGAAGTATGTATTGTGTGGGCACCACGTATGAAGTACACTTTCCCTTACCGGCTGTGTGAACTTTTACTTACAGCAAGCAGTTGTACACCAGCGTCTCCAATGCCATGGCAAGGTACCTGTGAGCTGCAGCTGCCGCTTTGACTGATATCGCCGGGAGTGTGCGGCAAACAGCTTGCGTAATTAGTTCTTTTTTTCCGTGTAGACCTTCCCTGCCACCGTGGTTCTGCTGGCGGGGTGTGTTCTGCAGTCGGTTGTCATCCGCCAGCGTTCAACGTCGGGCGGGGCCGCCATAAGCGAAGCGTCTCTCGTACAATTCCTTCTAGCATGGCACCCTCGCGCCGCCTCTTTGTCTGATCCCTTTTCCGGAACCCCCTCCGCCCGCAGGCGAAGATGATCATGCTGCTCAGGCAAAAGATGGGCGAGGAAGACTTCTACGCGGTGTTTGATCCCAGGAATCCGCGTATCGGGGATGTCTGAGATACGCGGTATTCGTTAGGCGCGTGTGGCACGTGTGTGTTCGGTCTTGCAGTATTTTGAACCCCACCATTGTAGCGCTTTTCTGTAGACAGCGTGAGAGAAGCGGAGCTTTGATTGTAGATGTTGTGCGTCGTGTTTTCTGTTTAAATTTACGTAGCGTCAATAATACCTCATGGATATGCAATTTTCTTGGTTTCGTCCTGCACGATGTTTCGTTTGTAGACCTGTGTCCAGTTTCGTTGAAATACCAGTCCTGTCATTCACGTGACGAGGCCCATTCTCCAAGGATTATTGAGCAATCAAAATCCGGTGGTGACAAATAGGAAAAATGTGGGTACCTTATTTCCCACAAAGGGGAGTATGGCAAGCCAAGGTCGCGCAAGAGATGCGAATGGACACGGGGTGGTTGCCGCAGTTTAGACCAGCACGCCCTTGCTTGGAGCTTGCGACTAGACCCTTGACAGGCTCTCTAGACCGCGACCTTTATCAACGGGTCGGGCACGTACAAAGTTGCTGGTGAGTATTTTGCGCCGAGAGCAGCACTTTCAAGTCAAGCTCGAGCTCGTTGAAGCGAGGACAAATCATCGAAATACGCAACAATACTGAGAGAATGCAACGGCTGCCGTCCGCATACAAAGAGCGTCCCCTTCCACAACCACCTCAAAGCGAATATCTCCATGGTGTCCAAGCATGCCCTCAACCGTGGCGACGAAGGTGCATTTCGAACCGTTCACTTCAAACTTGGTTCAATTCGAGAGTGGCACCAAAGTATCTATGTAGCGCGACCTGTTTTTCAGCTGTCTTTAAGCTGCCCGGGAGGGGAAAACATGGCTTCCCGGTCTGCTCGGCAGGGGGTGCTTCCTTGAAATACAACCATGACTACCCTGCGAGGGGGAGATATTAAGATAGGCACACCGTTCTGCTGGCTATGTAATCGCATGCCGTAGATGTTTTGTACAGCAATCGCGTGGAAAACGACGGCAATTGCCGTTCACGACCTGAACGACTCGACCAACTACAATGTGCGTTTTCATGCGAGAACCCCCATCCCTCCCCCCCCGAACAGAAAATCGCGCCGCCCGGGGCTATCTTTCGTCGGGGGAGGGGGGGGGGTACTGGCCTTGTTCGTTTTAGTGTGGACCACTTTCGCCGGCCAGATGGAAGTTTTGACGGTAGTCCGGCCCAATTCGTAGGGGGAGGATCAGCCAAAAAGCTTGCTGCAGCTCGAATATAAACATTCGCGATATCCCCTACCGCTAAGACAACACCACTACGTTCTCCAGAGATCTCATCCTACTTTCAAGAAAAAGGCGTCCTCTCCGCCTGATCCACATACCTCACCAAAGTTGTGCTGGAATCACGGCTGGCTGCAGTCTGGCAAGCACAGGAGGTAATAGGACCAACGTTGAGTAGGGACGAACAAACTTGTGCACAGGGCAACTTGTTCGCCTTATAGCAGTCGCTTCCATCATGCCCTTCGTTGGCGAAATACAGATGCGAACTATCTGACTCATGTGTCCATCGGGTTGTGCGCCGGACTTGTTCAGCCGTCTCTATGAGGCAGGGCCCACTACCAAACAGGAACTCTTAAACACTGCCATGCGGCATAGCGCACGGATCAAAATTAAACCAAGCAGACATCGGCCGCCTCGTTGTTGAGGAGCCCAGAAAATACGGGCTCACGCGCTTGCCGGATGACAAGATACTCGCCGTTTGGGATTTGGAAACCCAAGAATGATTCGGCAATATTTGACGGATGAACCATGATTCCTCGACACGACATTGTGTTGTGTTGGGTTTTCTCACCAACTATCAGTTCTTTCGGACCGATGGGGACGCATACACTGAACATGGATCGGATGCGCAGCAGTTCATGGTGATGCCACAATATGTACCACTATCAATCGCGGAACAAGCGGGCCAGTGCTACGCGTTGTAGTTGAAGTTTAATGTTCAACAGATGTGTCGGGGGGCCGACGGGGGGAGAAGACAGACATATTGCTTCGCCATACGATGTGCATACAGAATGACATGCACCCGCCGACCGCCCTTGGCAATTTTTCACAGAAGTGGCCGGTAGGGTATCGGAAGTGTCACAGATCTGACAGTACTATCCGGTAGGGTATTTGGAATTGTCACAGAACTCACAGAACTATCCGGTAGGTATCGGAGATGTGACAGAACTCGAAAGAAAAATTGGGTTTGTGCGAAGGTCGTACAAAACCCGAAGATCGTAGTGGGTAGGTTCACAAATGTCTACAGACTTTTTCTGTAGGGTATTAGAGCGTCACAGCACTCATAGGCGTCTTCCGTAGGGTATTGGAAGTGCCACAGATCTCACAGAACTATCCGGTAGGGTATCGGACGTGCCACAGAACTCGTCTGTAACGTTCTGTAGGGTAACCCCCCCAAAAAAAAACGCCGGTACACTTCTGTGGCTACCCTACAGAACACACCCTTGCATTTTTTTTGTATCGAATCGATCGTGTACTACACCACCAAAAGCGGCGTTGCCGTTGCCGACGAGGTTTCGGTGTCCAAGAAGGGGGACGAGCCCGGACTGCTCGGACCAACCGGGTTGCTGGCCACAGATGTACGTCGAAATAAATGGTTCTGTTCCGGGCGTGCATCATTTCGGTGAGTTCCCTGGATTTATTGACCTGACGAGCAAGTGCGTGCTGTTTTTACATGTCACAACCTTAACTTAGACCCACTCACTGCGTGTCGAGAATGGTCTGAAAACCGTCAGCAAAACTGTAAGGGAGGTCAGTTTCGGCATGTGACAATTCCCGAAGCTCACCGCTGTACGCGCGCGTTGCTCGCCTCGAGGGCTTCCCGCTAAATTCTCTCTCGGCGAGTACCGTAGAAGCAGTGTTCATGACGCACCCCATGACCGAATGTCAATACTCGATTGCTTGACAACTAAGGTGGTGCGAACACCAACCGATACATACAACAAGATCTTCATGTAGACGGGATCTGTCCAAAGTCACCCTTTTCAGCATTGGTGTCCTTCCGCTTGCGGAGGATTCGAGCTAAAAATATTGATCTGTGGCTCAACTTTTTTCTGTCTTCGTAAGTCACTTAGAGAATAAATGTAAGGCTGCATCCTTCCGGGGGCAAAAAACGCGGCGAACACCGCAAAGGGGAGCAGAGGCGGAGATGCACACAAAGAATGGAACTCCGCCTGTGCTGCACTCGGAAGCAACCGTCTTGTTTCGGGCGCAAGCGAGGGTAAACGCCCCATGGTTCGGAGGGGTAGACTCTACCCGTAACGTAGACTCCCGGGTACCGAGGATATGGAGGCTAGACAAGCCGCCGGCACCACACTAAAAGGTCGAGCAGTTAAGCGGTTGTGGCGTACCAACAAGTATCGACCGAGACCTGACAGTCTTGAAACATGCAGGCACAACACGTCGTCCTCCAACGAATGGTCCTTTTTGTGCAAACAATGCGTGTCTACCAATGAGTAGCAGCGGCTTGCGCTGCGCGAGAAGAAGGATCACGGGTCATTCATTTGCTGCCAACGTGCCGTCAAACGCGAAGAAGGAGGACACCGACCAAAGTAGGGGGTTCTACGGGCGACGTCTAGAGACATTGATCTACGCAAACGCGCACAGACAACTCGCGAAAAAGAAAGAACATTCAGCCCTTCTTTGTCTTTTTCTCGCGTACAGTATCGGAGCAATCGCGTATCCGCCATCACGCAGGGTGCCTGGGCGGTCTTCACGGGGATACTCCCCCCTGCCACACACACGTTGGGTTTGTGGCCACTATGGACACCCATCACCAGTCTCCCGTCCTCGTCGATGCCAAACTTCCCACGGTTGGTGTCCGTGAGGCCGTGGCGGACGGGTTTGACCGAACGCCGCAGGTCGTGCATGGTTCCGATTGGTTGGACTTCACTAATCAGTCGCACGGCGACCCATGGAGAAGCTCGAGCTTTGCAAATCAGACCACAGGAGCTGTAGCAACAGCAGCAGTAGAGGCAGTCGGCGGCGGCGGCGTCTTGTTCGGACCAGCACTTCCGCCAGCCTTGTCAACAAATAGTGGTGCCAACAATGTGTCGATGGAGGCGGTGCGACACCTCGGCAGGCGTCTGGTCCTTTGGGACACAACAAGCAAGATTAGTCAGACTGAGCGCGTCTTCCACCATCAGGTGAGAGGTCGGCCAGGCCCTTTACTTGCGCTCAGCATGGTCAAAAACATGGCAGGTGTTATAGAGATAGTACTCTGTCTTTAGTTGTTTGGTGAGGTACATGTTGAGTTGATGTTCTTCGCAAGCCCGAGAAGATAAAAATCGAATCGCCACTGCTGTGTACATGCCTTCGCCCCCCCGCGCCCATTGCCATAGTGTCGGTCAGGGCGTCATAACCTCCGGCATACACCTTCCTCGCAATCACAGCACCACCCAGTCGCCCGATCTCTTCACTAGCCTGCGCTGACTATACCCTGTAGATATGTTAGGCGGAGCTGTCAATCAGCGTGACCGATAGTGGTGCCACATGATTGACTTCAAAAGAGTTCTGTTTGTGGCGAACTGGTAGAGGAGGGTAGGGCGGCGTATTCACGCAAATTTGAACCCCGCTCAAACGAGTTCGAATGTGGTTGATAGGTAGTGTCATCCTGTTGGTTCCTTCGTAAGATGTCCCGAGCACATGCACCAGTCAAATATCACAGAGTATAACTCCCGAAGAGTAGCAGCGAGCAACCTCCTGCTACTGTAAAGCAACATCCTCATGTCGAAGGTACAATCCCACGTATACACCTTTGGCTTGATCCAAGGGACGACCTTTCTCCTCAGGTACAACGCTTGTAGCGTGAAGCACCAGTTCGTTGCATGTCAAGTATCGCCAAGACTGGGGGTGAACGCTATGCGCGGCATTCCCAAGAAAAAAAAACGGACAAGGATGCCCGACAGGCTGGTACATGTGGATGTATGTAGTCCACAGTGTATCGTGACCCTTTTTCCCGGGATTTTCGGCCTCACTCCCTTCGATGCTTGGTATTACTCTAATCGAGACGGCGTCCATTGTTGTGGGCGCGTACGGCGTTTGCCCGTAGTTGGCGGATTTTGTGTTCCTGAGACCGCGCGTGCGGCTGCTTTTGTGCTGTGGTACTATCACAACAAATTCGTGTTTTTCTGCCCACTCACTCCAAACAGATACACAGACGTACCCTCCATTTTGATCCTTCTGAGATCTTTTACGTCAGAAAATATTGTCCTGTCCGCCGCTGCTACTCCCGCTGCTGATCAACACCACATTTTCGAATCCCACACCATGTCATCAACCGAACGTGTTGTGTTGCTTCTCTGCATGTAGACAATCCACGAGCCATACTTGCACCAGGATGGCGCGATGGGGAGACTCTGGATGAGGGGGTTGGGTGGGTGGGTGGGTGGGTGAAGAATTACGACACCCGCTCTACGAGTCGGACGGAAACCATCGCACTTGTTGTACGTGCACAGATTATCGGCGTGCCTTTGTATCGCACCCAGCGTGCTGTGCCCCGCGGAGGGAATGTGCTAAGAACGTGGGGGGGGGGTGGCGTAGTCGTCAGACCATTGACCTCGCATCCCTACAAAGCCGGGACGGAGCACGCCGGGTTCTCACCGGACCAGGCTCTCACATCACTAAGCGCGAAGCGCCGTGAGATATTCGGCGAGTCGCACGAAGGGTGCGCTGCATCCTGCTATGGGTGTTCGGCATCTTGTGCTTACTTCCTTGCGTACGGCATGGAAAAGGCCCCATGACCGGAGTGAGACAGACTAACCATGCAATGCGTGTAGTACAACACCTTGTCTTGTCCAAACTACGCAACATCCAGAGGAAAAATCAACTCCGAGTCACAGAAATATGAAGAGGCCTCTCCTAAGTGAGTCCACACTCGTAACATCTCCTATCCCCCACCTTCGAAAGAAAAGGGGTGGGTGGGCGGGAGAAAAGCTACTAATTTCTGCTAAATAGCTAGGCCCGAACTTCGATGTAGCCNGCATCCTGCTATGGGTGTTCGGCATCTTGTGCTTACTTCCTTGCGTACGGCATGGAAAAGGCCCCATGACCGGAGTGAGACAGACTAACCATGCAATGCGTGTAGTACAACACCTTGTCTTGTCCAAACTACGCAACATCCAGAGGAAAAATCAACTCCGAGTCACAGAAATATGAAGAGGCCTCTCCTAAGTGAGTCCACACTCGTAACATCTCCTATCCCCCACCTTCGAAAGAAAAGGGGTGGGTGGGCGGGAGAAAAGCTACTAATTTCTGCTAAATAGCTAGGCCCGAACTTCGATGTAGCCAGCTGCTGCCCTCCTTCCCGCGTGACCCTCCGACGCGGGCTGCGTGTTACACACTGTGCATTCCTCAACACGTGGCCCTTGTTCCAGTAGACACGCGTCTATCAAACTCTTGCTGCAGGAGCAGCGAGGCAGCAGAATCAGAACTCCGTGAGACCTTTCGCTTTGTACGACCCCAGGAAACCAAACCAAGACAACCAAACCAACATGCCTCCAGGGCGGCAAAACAAGAACCCAAATACAAACGTAGATCTGGGGTGTGTTCCGAATTCTTCCGTGCACAATAAACTACAGTTTGTTCGGTCTTCGACAACATACTTTCATGTATCATGCATTCCGATCGAGCCAGAGCGACGTAATACTGCATCAGGGGATGTGTTCAAGTTTCGGTGGCGTGGGAGATGCACACCTTCCTCTTGCTGGGTGCGTTGAAGGAAGCCTTGGATCGCACCGATAGGCAGGCTATTGCACGTTCAACGAAGAGAATGCCGATGTACACTTCGAAGTACACTTCTCATCAGTAGCATGTCCAACGAAGGTACCCTGGGGAGCTTGTCTTCTCGGCTGTCGTCGTTGTCAATTTCAAACCCCCTTCATATTTAGACTATTCTCTACAACCTTTGCCCCTGTGTGGGTTGTCTACCCCTCGCCTTGTTTGCCCATTCCGCCTCCCATGCTGTTTTCGGCAACCTCTATTCTCATATATATCGTGCATATGGTACAAAAAATTTAACGCCATTTGTATCTCTTCCAGGTCGAGGTGGGAAGGGCGGAGGGGACATTCTTACCCTCTCTGGTCACTCAGCGGCGACTTCATTGTCTCATATCCAAACTAGACTATATAGTCTACACATCAGCAGGATGACGTACACCGAAGGAAAGATATTTCCATAGCAATGCTTATGCGAATGACTGTTCCGCAGGACCTAGCAGGCAACTCACATGTGCATACATGTCGTACAGTCTCTGATCAAGGGGAACTGGTGGCCTTGGATCTCGTCCATGATGTTGCAACATTCAAATTTCAAATTAGACTAAATGTAATTTGTGGGTATAAACCTTCACTGCGTGGCACCACCATATGGCAAGCAAGGCTTAGGACTCGATACACGCCTTGTACATTGCGTTACTCGCCGCTCCTGTTTCTTGTCGCCACGAGTGATACATCTGTAGCAATCAACAGACAACGAGACCTCATGCATGTGCGCTCAGGAGAAGGACAATTCTCCGGAGATCCTTACAGTCCCGCCAGAAAAAAGGCCGTTGAAACCTTTTAGCTTTTTGGGGTTCGGGGAGAGAGAGAACATAGGAAAGAAGAGAGAAGAGAACCGAGCGCCAGCAGTTACATGCTCGTGCACACGCGGACTGAGAGCAAGCTCTGGCAAGCCCATCGTAGTGCCAGCGACCGCGTTCGGTGTGCTGTCCGTACAAAGCCAGGCTGAATACTACTAGCGCGGGACGCGGGACAACCCGCAAACCAGCCGCGAAAGGCCGATAACTGGTATCCAAGCTCTCGAGGATGGTGGTCAGCGAGACAACCGGCAAGGACAGCAGTAGGCGAGGGAGCAGCGCGTCTCCGATCCGGGAGAGGTTGAGGCGCAAGCCTCGGCAGGATTGGTTGGTCACCGTGGGACAGGGACGCAGCCCGGCGAGGACGCTGAGGAGGGAGAGCAAGGGTCGGGCGACGAGCAGGAGTCCGGGAAGGAGCAAGAAGTTCGATTCGGCCAGGTTGTCGTTTGGCGGGCTCGAGCAGGTCTGTCTATGTGCGGTGGGATGATGGAATGCGTGGTATGCCTTGATGGCTCAGCTGTTTGCTGCTGTTTGCGTCATCTATTGTAGGTGGGTCGTAGGTTGGAACATACAGAGTATAGGCATGTGGTGACGTGTCGGCCGTTGTTGCAAAGGAAACAACTTAATTTGCAGAGTAGACTATCATCTTAAGACGCTCAAATTTTGTTTTTGGCTCAGGAAGGACCCCCCCCCAAATCCAATCCGGAAATAACCACGCCGTAAAAGACTCAGCCTTACATTGGTAAAGAAACGTTATCGCCCGAGCCGTCGAATTACCACCTGGCGCGAGGCAACCCTTCGGTACTAAATATATATCCCATGCAGCCATAGACTGCGCAGTGCACAGGCGTTTTTTGAAGGTCTGACATAACTTGCTGAAGCAAGGGAAAAAGAAACGGCGTTGAGGATAGGAATGCTTTTGCTACAACAAGCGACAGCTGATAGATGTAACTGTCGTCAGACGTGTGCGTCCACGGGCGGAAGTGCGTGCTACAGAGGCGTACACCGACGTATCCTCCGTGCCCGCTGTGCATATGTCGCTGTGCCCGCTGTGCGTGTATTGTCTGCTTTGCGTGTGGTGCCTGTGCGAGTGTTCTGCAGTTGCAATCTGCTATGTGCTTCGAAAAAAAAACACCTGCGGTCTGACCCCCCTTTAAACTCAGTATTGCAGTCTAAAACCTAAATAAATCTGCCAGATGCACAAACTTGTTTTTTTTTTATGGAGGGCAATATTGCGCTGAAACCTCACAGGCCAGATTCGAAATCTCGCTTCGCTCGAATAATTGCTTAGAACCGTGGATATCAGACCCCCCATAGAGAAGGCAAGACCGAGCGATAGGTGGATACTACGTGCGACCGTCAAAGATGAAACGATGAAAGAACATTCAAGCTTCACGGTTTGCAAAATGGTAGGAGTAGCGTGGTGTGGCAGGGAACAACCCGCTGGGTGAGGCCCCTCCAGCCCCCTACAGTACGGTGCCATGATGCAATAATACTCTCTGCTGACCTTAACCCTAAAGAGAGAAGGTTACACCAACAACGCGCAAAAACTCTCCGCCACAAACACGCAGTAGATAGAGGTGGCGCGCAGGGGCCGAGCAACCACGAAGTACTCCGTACGAACCAGGCCGACCGATCGACCGACAGATCGCCCGCCCGCCCGCCCGACCGACCGACAGAGATCTTGTTTGCCACGGTTTTGTAGCCCGGGCTATACAGCCCACGCCCACAGCATCGCCATGCGGGGATATCGCGTACGGCATGGACCTCAGCTGCTGTTGCTAATTATCACCCCACCCGCGAAAACATGTGTGCTGTTCGGGCCCGCCGCACATAACGCAGGACCCAAAGCCCCGTCGATCTCGAAGGCCACCACAAGCGGACGACGGCACCTCTTTTTCTCCCACCACGCCCGAGCCTCGATCCCGGAAACAGCGACCCGGCCAGTCGCCTTCCTCTGCAAGTTCTCTCAAAGGGCGCTCCCACACCTCGCCGATGCTCCTCGCTAGTGTTACATCGGTTGCCACCGCTCCGCCTACCGCGGCCTCATCGACGGTGATTCGGCGGTCCCCGGCGTTTCCCCGGTCGGCGACGGGCGTCGATGGCGACAAGGCCGGCTCTCCGTTCGGCCGTTCCGTAGAGCTTCGGCCACCGTCACCATCATCAACCCCGGTGTCACCGTCGACCGCCGCTGCTGTTCCGAAAACGGACTGGCTCGCCGCGGCGATCTCAGGGGGCCGCGGAGAAAGCGGAGGAGAGGAGGCAGCTAGTGCTCAGACAACAACAACAACAACAATTGCAGAAGGAAAGTACCACAGCACTGGGGGGATGAATGTGGCGGCGGAAGAAAGGAACGCGAAGCTAAGCTCCCTGTTGCTGCTATCCCCGGGGAAAGAATACTGGGCGGACAGGCTCGCGGCCAAAGGCCCGCGGGACTCCGGAAGCCCACAGTCGCTTACTCGCAGCAAGGCCAAAAAAAGTACCTTGGGGTGGGGCGGCGAAGGCGTTTCGAGCTCCCCCCCCGCCAGAGGACAGAACGACGCCCCCAGCTACACCGACCGGGGGCAACAGCACCAAGAGGGGGCGAACGGCGGACCTACATCGGCGGGCTCGCCGAGAAAGAAGGACTTTCGGTCGTTCACCGCCGTCAAGAAGGTTGCGCCGCTGTCTCCCGTCGGCGGCGGCGGCACTAGCCCGTCCGCGTGGTCTACGCAGGCGTTCACCAGCCCCGGTGGCGGGGGAGGAGCGGAAAGGCGGGGACGGCTCGATCTGAGCTCCTGGCGAGCCCGGACGCCGGGGCAAGGGTTGTCACCGCCGCGCCAGGGGCCGCCGTCGTCCTCGCCGCGAAGCCTCGCAAAGGGGGATTGGCGGCGGGGCCCCGCAGGCGTGAGGCCGGGCCAGGCGGGGGCTTCGCGTAGCCTCAGCCCCTTATCCGGCGGTACGGCGGCTTGCTTCGGCAAGACGTCGTCCGTGAGGTTCGGTCGCGGTAAAGATCCCCTGGGTGCTGGTTTTGGGGCAGGGAGCCGAGGTGCAAGCTCTTCGATGAGACAGGTGAAACGACGTTGTTTTTTAGGGCACAACCACGGCTAGCTAGAGTTTCGGGGTTGGTGATGGTCTCTGCTCCGTTTGCTTGTCCTCCACGTCGTCTCAAAATGTGGTACATTATCCTTTCCGGGGTAATAGAACTTGTTGGCTTCAATCCGCGGGTTGGGATTTTTTGCGGAGGCATGCCAGGATTGGTGAATTCCCACCCATCGATGTGGCCACACCCTGCCATGCTGCTATCGAACCATGCCTGTACCCCTTCCTCCCCGCCCCCCCGTCAACCACGTGGAAAACCCTGATAAAAGGTCTGCCGAGAGGAACCCGCCTCGCCGCTACTCTCCCTGATCGGTGGCTACAGCAGCAGCAGCAGCAGCAGCAGCAGTGGCCCAAGAAGACTGCGCGGGACCCCTTCGACCCTCCCCTCCGTCACCTCCGGCGGCGGCAGTGGCTGCGGTGATGCTACCGCGGTGGTGGTGCAAGATGCAGACGGCCTCGAGCAAGCCACGATGGCGCCACCGTTGTGCGATGGAAAACCAGAGGAGGCTGCGGATGAGGCTTCCGGTGACGGGGGTTTCACTGCCGGAGATGGTGGTGGTGCTGCTGCCGCGGCTGTTGTGCAGCCGGAGTCGTGTGGTGCCGAGAAGGAGGAAGCGAGCGCTGATGCCGACGACGGCAGGGCCAACGGAAAAGCAGAAAGGGGAGCGTTGTTCGCCGAGTGGGAGGAGGCGAGCGGGGAAGGCCGCGCAGAGGGGTATGCGTCTGATGGGACGGCGGGACTGCTGACAGTGGAGGTAAGGAAGGATGAGCCTCACGGTGATAAATTTCTCTTTGTTTGGGGTGTTGTTGCTAGATGTACATAGCGGTGGTGGTTTTGGCCATGACATGATCACGTTAGGCTCGGGACAACCGCTGCAACGTACTTTTGTTGTGTAGGCTTGTGGGTATGTCTTCGTGGTCATATCGACCCTCGCCCTACCGAAAGCCTGGTTTTTCGTTAGAGCGACGGTGGTATGCTCCCCCGGTAGAACACGCCGTGCCTTTCGTTTTTCGAAGGGCTGATAAGGCAGGCTTCTGGTATGCCCACGTGGGCTGGATGTAGTCTATCCATGTTTTGGTGCGGAATGGGGAAGGACAGACATATGTAGCGTGGTGTTCGTTCTTTCTCATGATGGATACTATCGGCTGGGAGTAGCAACGTAGAGAGAACAAGACGAAACCATCGCGCTGCCGTTCCTAGGGCTCCGAACCATCCCGCGCTGATGTGAGAGAGCTGCAGCCGTAGTCGGTTCTTAGCGTCCACCCTGTTCACTTCGCCTCCGGTCTAGGATGATTGTTTCCAGCTTTTTTCCAGCTTACCTCTCCTGCTCCCTATTCTTTCCTCGCGTGTTGGTCTTTTCCCGACAAACCCAATATGCCCCTTTTGCCAGACAAAGGACTTTGGCGAAACGTCGGGTTGCACTGCCGTTGTCAACAATCCGGCCGGAGTGGAACACGACGACCCGCTTCGTCCCACCCTCGTCGTCACCTCCAGTCCCTCCCCCCTGCGAGCCCAACTGCAGTCCCCCATCACCCAAGACCCGAGCCCCTGCACCAGCGACAGCCTCCACTTTGCGGTTTCCGACGGCATCCCGCCAGACGGGGGCCCGGGGGGGGACGCAGCAGGGCAGCTTCCGCCATCGCCGCAAGCAACAGCGGCGGCGGTGAGGGAGGACTCGAGACCGCCGTTACATGGCAACGGGGGTGGGTTTACGGGGCACGTGCCCCCGGGCGTGCGCATCGTCGGGAGAACGGCTGCCGGGGAGCAGCCCGGCGCGGCTTCTGGTGGTGGCAGCGACGGCGGTGGCGGAGCCTTGGCGGGAGAAGCGCCGGCCGGTCGGCGTGACCGCGCGGCTTTGTCGTCATCGCCGTCCTCGGTGTGCTCCGAGGGAGGAGGGACGGGGCCGCCGCGAGGGGGAGAGGTGAAGCTGTTCGTGAGTACCCCGACCGGAGAAGGTGACTCGTCGGACCTGTCCCTCTGGGTCACCACGAGGGGTTCAGGAGAAGGGGGAGGGGAGGGAACGGCGACGACGGGAGACGGCACGGCTTCGCCGTTGCCCTCCCCTCCTTCGGTGCGGTTGTCGCCGGTGGCGGTGAAAAGTCTTGAGGATGATGACCCAGGGATCGATCCCGGGGATGGTGCCTCGACCGCGGCCAATCTCGAGGAAGAAGACCTCGAGAAGGATCTCCGGAACGGTCTTGGGTTCGGGGCTAAGAATGCTATTGAGGCGAGGTCCGGTGACGGTGAGGCGGGCGCATCCGGAGAGGAGGAGAACGAGGTTGAAGTTCTTCCTGAGGGAGAAGCCACTTGCTGTCTACTGCAACCATCGGAAGGACCCGAGGCGGCGGAAGAAGGCGGCGGCGACAACGAGGACCCCGAACCAGCGGTGTCTCAAGGGGAAGTCGAAAACGCGGCCGAAGGTCCCTCCCGTGCGGACGTCCCTCTGCTCGACAGCAGCAAAACAATCCCATCAACAACGGCGGAAACGGCAGCAAACGTGGAGAAGACGGAAGTGGGCGGCATGGAAGGGCCCTGGGAGGCGGTTGCTCGGGTATTCTGCGGTATTTTCAACTTTTGTCGGCCCCCCCGACGGTGAGGGTGGACATGGGGGCAAGAAATGAGATCCCTCCGACATCCGTGCCGTGGGAGCGAAAGACCATGCTAGATGCTAAATATCCCCTTAGGGGAAGGGGTACTCATGTTCTGCTAAGGCGGGGGGAGGGGGGGAGGGGGGGGGTAACACGGTTGTACGGGGGGCGGTGGAAAGGCGAAGCGAACATTCACCAAATACCCGGGCGGGAAAAACCTTTTGGTCTGGAAGTATCCAGTTTCTGACACCTTTCCCCCGCCGGCGCTATGTATCCTGCTGCCGTGGACACCCATCATCACCTCGCGGAACCCCGCGATGTTGGATCTCGGCAATATTCACGGTCAAGCACCGATACGAAATTGATTGGCTTTGCGAGCTTTACTCTTGTTTTTCTTTTGTGTGTCTTTGCGATGGTGGCCCACTTCGAAGTGGGCAAGGCGGGGCCGGGGCGGGGGCGGCGGGATGTGGTGTTCAAAATGGTTCCACGCCCCCAGGGGACGAAAAGGGCATAGACCAACAGGACGGATGCTTGTGGTGATGTGCGTGGAGAGCAACTCTCATCATTGTTTTTTTCGTGTTGCTGTTGTTGTTCTGTGTGCTTGTGTGCGTGTCAGGTGTCGTTATGTGTGCAGCGTTATTTGTCGCCGCGCCGTTTTCGCTGGGCATGTACATGGAAATCGTAATTGTCACGCCCTTGGCATGTTTGCGTATTGTTTGAAAATCGTACAAACACGCTGTTGGAAACATTTGTCAGCGATGCACGGTCGGCAGGCCGAGTAGTGGCGTTTTTACCGCGGTGTTTTTCGTGTGTGCATCATGTGTGACGTGTATTTTTTTCTTTGTCGTTCCAACTGTTCCTGGGCGCCAGTCTCTACCCCCTTTCGGTATGTGGTTGTGGATGCACCGAGTGGTCTCCCCATAGCAAACTTTGGAGTACCCACTTTTTTCTGAGGAAGGAGTGGGTATATCCACTTTTGTCTATTTCCCTTAGCCGGGGCCACCCACCAGGAAATTTCCGTCTGTCCTTTCTGCGGTACTTGCCTTCTGCAGTAGTCTGACGCGAGAAGGGTGCAGGAGTCCCTCCCCTCCTTGTCGTTATGTGTACTCAAACGACTATGTGTGTACCTTGCACCTAGAGCTAAACGAGGTATGTTCTTTAGAGGTTATCAACCAGCTGAAATACTCGGCAAGTTGTCGAGTGGCCAAGCTTCGGGATGTGGCCAACACCCGCGGATTGAGGCGAAATGGCGAAGGAGAGGGGGTTCGCTCCATCGCGAGCTATTTTCAAAATCGCGTTTTAGAGGCGATTGGTGGACTTAAACACGAACGAGTTCAATATGTTGATGGACTTATTCGTGTTGCGACAACGTCCGAATAAGTGTAGAGGGAATCGTGGGGAAAAGTGGGCAATGTTCAAATGTCGCCGGAGGGGCAACGGGGTAAGGTATATACATGATTCATCTCTTGTTTTTAACGCCACGTATCATCCCCGCAGGCGATTTTGTCGCGTCTTTTGCGTTTGCAAAAGTGGGTTTGCTGGTGGCATATTCCTTCGGTAGATGAAGGGAGGGAGGGCCTCCTGTTGTAGAACGCGTTCTCGGTCTCCGTTGCGACAACAAACGGACGGTATTCCCATAGACCCTGAGATTTTTAAGTTTTCCTTCGAAGCGCCAGTTCTGGAATCTATCCCACCATACGCGGTTTGTTTTTCTGCTCGGATGCCGTATTGGTGGTGCGTGTGTTAGGCAAAGGTTCAGTTTTCCGCCCGTCAAGACAAGGCCTCGTCTCCAGCATGTAGAAGCAACGTTCGTGAATATCTGTCTCTCGCGTATATTTTTATCTGGGGGGAACTCGAACGAGGAGGGGGTGTGGGCGGGAAGGAGGAGCAACGAATTATCGTTGATTGTCGAGCAGTGTTTTTAACCGTGTTATTGGTGTTTGTGTCGTTTCAACAGCTTGGCCCTGGCGTTTTTGACACTAGTCAGCCGGCTCGCCCGGCGCTAAGAGGCTGCATGTTTTATTGTTTGGTTTGCGCTGAAAAGAGACTGGGATGCGTACATTCGCGCTGAAATGTCGGCTTGATTCCCCGCTACCCTCTCGCTGCTTGCAGGCCTCTGGTATATTCTCAGTTGTTGTACTTAGCTTGTCGCCGTTATGGCCATCCCCGAGGCAGGAAATCAGAGGGGTGCAATGTTTCTTGCGGTCGGACGAGAATCTTCTCCGTGCACAAGGAAGCACGTGTAAGAAACTTGCCAGCAGCTACACGGCGGAGGGGGTCTCCACTTGCTAAACAGCGCTTTTTTCCGCTGGCAGTCTTGCCATTGGAGGGAATTTTCACAAAGTACAGTCGTTGTATGTATAGGTTGGTCATTGCTTCTCCGGCGTCGCTGTATTTTTTTTCTATAGTAAGGAGAACGTCACGACAGTCCTCTGGCTCCCAGCGAGCGAGAATGTAGAGAGGGTCGTCTGAAATTTCAGTGTCGTTCCGGATGACGAACGCCGGGAGAACAAAAGAAGAAGCCCAGAAAGCAAGAAGCCCAGAGTTACTAGCCGTGGTCATGTTCGGAGGCAGGGTGGGGAAGGCTGGATTTCATCTGGGGGCAATTTTTTTCTGGGTTCCTCTCGAGGAACATCGGCTTTATTGTTGTTTAGCCTATTCGTTGCCTGCGTGTCAATGTCATCGGACGTATGGCGGACGTACACAGTGAACCCGGACCCGTGTGATTACGCCCAGAAGAACGTGAAGAAACTAGTCGACTCGCTGCCAGCCGGTCGGGTTCCGGCTGCCCCTACGAACCTTATTCTTGTCTGGCAACCAAGAAGACCCGAAGACCCGAAG